TCTACAAAAAACTTACAGCTAATATCATACTTAATGGTGAAAGACTGAACACTTTTTCTCTAAGATTGGGAACAAGGCAAAGATGTCTGCTCCCACCATTCCCACCCACATCGTACTGGAGTCCTAACCAGTGCAGTAAGGCAAAAACAAACATAGAAGGTACACAGATTAGAAAGGATGAAATAAAACTGTCTCTATTTCAAGATTACATGATTGTCTACATAAAAAAAAAAAAAATCCGCAAGAATCCACAAAAAAGCTCCTGGAACCAGTAAGTATATTTAGCAAGGTCATGGATGAAAGGTTGATATATAAAAATCAACAGTATATGCAACAAACAACTGGAAAACAGAAATTTAAAAAACATTACCATTTATAACAAAACACTCCCCAATGAAATTCTTACATATAAATCTAACAAAATATATGCAGAATCTATATGCTGAAGACTATACAACACTACTAAAAAGCAAGTATGTTTGTATTCATGGATTAAAAGACTAAATACCAAGGTGTAAAAATTGATCTATAAAATAAATGCAATTCCAATCAAAATTCCAGCATGATTATTTATAGATACCTACAAACTGACATTTAAGTTTACAAGGAAAGGCAAAAGAAAAAGAACAGCCGAAAGAATTTTGTAAAAGAACACACTACCTGGTTTAAAGACATACCATACAGCAAAACTAATCAAGACAGTGTGACATTGGTAAAAGAATAGACACAGAAATCAATGGAACAGAAAAGAATCCAGAAATAAACTCACACATACACGGTCAAGTGATCCTTTTTTTTTAAAAAAGGTTCAAAGGAAATTCAACAGGGAAAGGACAGTCTTTCCAACAACCGGTGTTAGAACCACTGGATATCCAGATGCAAAAACTAATGAGCCTCTACCATACAGTGAACCTTATACAAAATTTAACCCCAAACGCATCTCAGACCTAAATGTAAAACCTAAAACTATAAAATCTTTTGGAGAAAATGTGGTAAAGTTGGTCTTAGCCACGATACCTAAAGTACAATCCATGAAAGAAAAATTTCATACAATGGACTTAATTAAAACTAAAAGCTTTCGTTAGACAAAAGGCATGGCTAAGAGGGTGAAAAGACAAGCCACAGCTGGGACAAATTATCTGACAGAGGACTAGCTTCCAGAATATATTAAAAATCATCAAAATTTAACAGCAACCTAATAAAAAATGGGCATAAAATTTGAACAGATACTTTACCAAAGAAGATACAAGGATGGGAAAAAGCACATGAAAAGATGCTCAACACCAATTCTCATTAGGGAAATGTAAATTAAAACCACAACGAGATACCACTGCATACCTATTAGACTGGGTAAAATTAAGAAAAACTGGCACTGTCAAATGCAGGTAAGGATGTGGAAGTACTGACACTCTCACAGGTTGCTGATGAGGATTCCAAAATTGTGCAGCCACTTTGGAAAACAGTCCAGCAACATCTTAAATGTTAAACATACACCTACAACATGATCCAACTGTTCTACTCCTAGTTACCCAAGAGACAAAAAAACTTATGTTGATACAAAAACTTGTATGCAAATGTTTATAGCAGCTTTATTCATAATTGCCCAAAATTAGAAACCCAAATGTTCTTCAATGAGTGCACAGATAAACTGCGGTATATCCATACATTGGAATATGACTTAGCAATAAAAAGAAACAAACAAGATACAACAAGACAGATGAATCTCAATGCATTATGCTAAATACAAGAAGCCAGACTCAAAAGACTGCAGTATATGCTTCTGTTCATAATGATATTCTAGAAAAGGCAAAAAATACAGGGACAAAGAACAGATCAGTTGTTGTCACAGTTAGGACTGGGGGAGGGGTTGAAAATACAGGGCAGCACCGGGGTGGTGGGAGGCGAAGAACTGCTATGCAGCGTGAATGCAGTGGTGGTTGCAAGGCTGTGGTGGTAGCTGTCAAAACTCACGAGCTGCACACCACACTAACTTACTGAACGTGAGTTTAAAAACAAACTCTTAAAAAATGCAGCCTGAACTTCCTTCAGAAATTATGAGTACAAGCTGGGTGGGATGGCACATGCCTATAATCCCAGCTACTTGGCAAGATGGGTTGAGCCCAGGAGTTCAAGACCAGCCTAGGCAACATAGCAGACTCCATCTCTAAAAATACAAGTTTAAAATTATGAGTACAAATAAGCGTAAGTCTTTTAATAGGAAAGAGTATTATGGACCGACATATCAAAAACTTGTTACCTAAACAATGGGACTTGAACAGCACAACAGGCCTAGACACCTACTGTTTTAAAGTCTCTCAAATTTTGCACTTGTTAGTAGAGATTAAGCACTACGTAAACTTAGGCGATGCAGAAACAAAGTCTCCTGTCTTGGAAAGAAGATGATAAACCTCCTGGGCAGAAAAGACCTAGTAAGTCGGCGTGGACCTGGGATATCAGGAATTCCCCATTACGAGCAAGTGAATTACACCAAGAGTTTGGCTGGTTGATATTTAATGATTCTTATTTTACTTAAAAATTGCCTTCATGACAATTCCTCTGACATAGCTGGTTTATCTCCAAACTACGCCTTCAGATGTTACTTTATGTTTGGTAAGATTGTCAGAACATGTTCCAGAGAATTGGAAAAAAGGGGGAAAGAGGGACTTTCATTTCCCTGTTTGCAATGAACCTTACCCAGGTTTTCACTGAGAATGTGAATATAACAGTTTGGCACCAGGAATAAAACCAGATTCTTCAATATTATTTCCACAAAGAACAAAATCTATACACAAATAAAAAAATGTTAACTGTACATTTTTCATGGATTATCAAGTCCACAGAAATGTCACATCTACTTGGCATTCCCTTTTCTTTTCTCCAGTAGTTGAGTGAGAGGGGAGTTTTTCTGTAATAATGATCTATGGGTATCACGGCAGGAGGCAGAGAGAGCAGGGAAATAAAGTCCCTTCTGTGCTTTTCAGCTTCTTTGGCACATGCCCCAGTCAGTGAATCAAAGCTCAACTTTCTTCACACTGAGGGGCTGTGGCTTTCTTGCTTTCCTATGACACTCCCCTGGATGCATGCCTGAACTTTTTTTATTATAAAAAACAAACCTTAGTACGGAAGGAGAATCGTGACATGATGCTTTAACATAGCGTTGAATTATCTGATTCAGAATAAACAGTGTATGAAAACCTAAAAGATAGAAGACATTTCTACAACCCTGACACAGCCCATTAATCCATTTATTGACACATTGTGGGGTTTCAATAAATGTGATGGCCAAGTTATAAAGAGTACCAAACTCAACAGATTGAAATTTTAAAAGGCAGCACTGAAGTTTTCATGGAAAGAAATCTACATCTTTGCGAAGAAAGCTGTGATTTAAAGCAATAAGGACAGTAAAAAAGGAGGGATAGTGAGTATGTGAACTGGTGTGGAACTGGGGGTGCGGCGAGCACCTGAGTGGACGGCGGCAGCAATCCACACCACCTGGCCCTCGCTCCTCTGCCCCAGGGCCACAAAGGCTACTCAGTGTCACCCTGTGGGACTGCAAGGATGTGTTTATCTACCTAGCAGTGCAGCCCCACTCTCCAGTCTGCTGTGACAATTTGAAATTTTTGAAGTTTTATGAAATATCAAAATCAAAACTTCTTTAAAAGCAAAAGTTTCCATCTCCATAAAAAACTTCAGAGAAAAATAATCATAAAACAAAGTAAAATATAAAGTTTCAAGGAGAATAACATTGTAAGGGTACTATTTCTAGCTAAAGATCCGTTGGTCCACATCTCATAACATAAACAGAGCAAGCTCCAGGGTCAGCTTCGGATTCCTCTCACAGCAATATCGAGGGTTTAACGTCTCTGGATCTCCATTTCCTCACCCATAAAGTGAGGATGCAATGCCCATCTGTGAGGACAGACGTGGGACATGGCACGAGGGACAGGCTTTGCCGCTGTGCTAAAATGCAGCCCTGCCATCTCAGTCCCTCCCTAAACCATCTACTTCAACTCCAGCCAAGCGAGAATTAAACCGTCTCTGGTCTCCCCTGACCTTTGGGGCAAGAACCCTCCCTTCACCCTGCTGAGTTCGGGTCAGCCTCTCTGGCTCTGACCTTTTACGACTTACTCTCACCCGCGATCCACTTCTTTCCATAATTACTAGTCCATTTATCTGAAATTTTTCTAGCTTTTTACTAAAACCCCTTCTAATGTTCTAAAGTCAGCTGCATTACAACTTTTATTCTGAGACACACATGCTGAGTCCTTGAGGATTCATATACAGCACCAGGTTCCACACTGGACCGGAGACTAAAAACAAAACAATGACAGTCCCCAGACATAAAAAGAAATCCCTCCTAGCTGCATATTTATAAAGTGTTCTGGAAACACCATGGATTATTTACCAGAAGAGGTTTTCTCGTGGGGGAGGTGGGGGGAGTGTGACACTTTTAATAAGAAAAGGGAGAAGGCAATAATAAATGATAAGTAATTAAGTAGAAAATTGGACACCTTCCTTCATCAATACTTAGAAGCTCTGTGGCTTCTCCATCCAATGTTTACACACTTCTGATGACAATGACACAGCTGGGCTGCATAACCTGTTTATATCATTTGGGTCATACATTTTTATTTTCATTTTAGCCTGTTTGGATCATTTCTATTTTCTCAGGTGTCATTTTTCACATTTTTTTAAATGTGCATGTTTCTTTTGTAGGAAAGGATATAAAAATAAAGACAATAACTCTGCTCAAATTCAAGATACGTATACAAGAGATATGACAGCAGATTTTATTAAACATTCCTGCTAGGTGTTTAGGTAACTCCCAGATGTACGTACAACATGCTACGGTTCTCTCTGCATAGCCATATCTCGCTACCGTCTCCACACTCGTGCCTTTTGCTGCTATAGGATGGAAAACACCACCGCTGACTTACAGGAGGATAACCTGGCTGAAGTCTTTATACTGTCATCCTGAGTTTACTATTACACATACTCACCTGTGACTTGTTTGTCTGGAAGAGAAGGGATTGGAATGGCTGACCCAAACTTAACCAGGAGACGCTCATATAACCAGTCAAAGTGCTTATACCTGTGGTTTACAGATCGGTTAGTGTTCTACAAAATAAAAAGAAAATGTTACCAATGCCAGCTATAGAAAACAAAGAAAAAAAACAAGTTGCACCCAGTGATGCAAGCATGATTCTGGTTTGGTAGCTTGGATACTTACAGTAGGTGTTAGCTGATATTCAATGTAGCTCTTCAGACCATACATTTTGGAGCCTTTCCTGGGATCTGCTACCACACAGTCAAACGTAGAGGTAGGATAAACCCACATCGGGCCATAATCTCCAACCTACACAACGTTCCATGAAGAGTAATTTTGTTACATGGAAAAATAGTAAATACAATTGATGTAAATCAGCAAATAATTCTTTTTAGAACTAAAAGTCCTTTGGAGGGACATTCTTGTTCTTCTTTGAGAAGTTACTTAATGGTCTCTGTTCCTGTTAGATATTGTATTTAAAGAACACATTTGTAGGACAAACTCTTTTGCTCCCCACATGGGCAGCTCAGCCCATGGAGAGGGGACACCAGCTTCCCTCCCCTCCAGGGGAGGCTGGTGGAACACAAGGTCTCTCTCTCTTGTCCAGCTGTGTCAAGCTATATGGGAAGGGCTCGTTTTTTCCCAATCTACCATGGACTGGTAGTTTTGTGAAATATAAAATTATACATTGAGTTTTCAACAATGTCAAACTGCCATCAAGTTTTCTAAACACTCTCATTTTCTGTACTTATAGCAGATTACTAACAAGCAGTTTTCAGATGGGCAGCTGGTCCATGGTACTTTGAGTAGCATCATTCTAGCTCACAGAAATGACTAATCTGGTCAGAGTCTGATAACCATTGTTTTACTATTAGTATGGGGTACTATGTCTCAAAAGCAAGAGCCAGGCTAGCTGTTTTCTCTTGGGACTGCTTGTGTGTAAGCACACTGGGCTGGCTCACTTCCTGTCCCCAGGTATTAGCCCCACCTGGGCAAGGCTTGTCCAAAGAGGGTAGGCCTCTATTCTTTTTCCACTGGCCTTCTTTTCTGTGACTAGGGCATAAAAGTTAAAAAATTCTGGTGAGGCTTATTAGGCTTATACTAGATCACTGAGGTTTTAACTAGTGGCGGGAGGTGAGGAAAGGAAACCAGCTAAGTTCTATGAGGGGTATAGAGAACTTACGAGTTTTGAGCCTATGGATCATTTCTGCTAGACACTGCTAAGTAACGACAGGTCTGCTGTCCCAAACCTGGTTGTTTTTCTTTTGTTTAAAACTGCATGCAAGGCATGGAAGCAGCTGCAGAGAGTTGGTTGCTCATGCACAAGCTCTGGGAATCACCTCCTGTATCACCACTAGTCTCAAGTTGGTTCTGGATCATCATTCATTTCATAAACTCTGACCACGGTTATGCATTTCAGAAATCCAGATTGCAGGACAGTAGATCTTATCGAAGAAGAACATTTAAGAGCAATAGGAGACCTTATTATATCAAGAATATGTTATCTTCTTGGATTGGAATGGAAAAATAATTGAATTATAATATAATTCAGGATTAACGGGAAAAAACATGTGGTCTATAAATGGAACACTATTTCTAGGAAAGAGATTCGTTTACAGATTCAAGGAGGAATGAAAATTTATAAAATAGGCTTTATTCTTGCAGTTAGAAAAAGTATAGTACGAAAGTGAAAAGAAAATGAGAAAAACCATGCAGACTGGGCTGAAGGAAGAAAAATGTGTTTAGGCTGAGATCCCAAAGGCAAGGCCAGACAGATATAAAAAGGAAAAAAGGGATATGCCCAGTCCTAATTCTTTTTAAAGGTGGAAGAGGGCAAAAGTGGGTTGGGGCATGACAGTCCAGAGGTTATTAGGTCAGGAAGGTGACCAACTTTAAAAAGAGACTAGAGAGATCTCTGAGGACAAACTTCCATGATGCCCCAGAGAGCCTGGATCCAGGAAACTATCTTAAAGCCGCAGAGTAGGACTTTGTAAGGCAACCTCAGTGACTGGGACAAGCAGGGCAACTCTGGATTGACCAGGGCCAACGCCCACAGGGCATGTTTTACTGGTGGGTTACTGTGCTTGTAAAGCTAAGAACCAGGTCTCTGTGTTCTCTTGGCTTCCAGGAGACTTGGTGGCTTTCCTCAGCTTGCTTTTCCATGCATGAAGCCCACACAGGCAGACCTGCCTACTGGGTACGTGGGTCCAGTTCTATCTAAACTTGCGGGACAGTAAAGAGGCTGGGACCTTTGGCTCTGTGCCACCAGTGTCATGCTCGTGACAATGTCCCCTTGAAGACGCTGAGGGGTAAGGCCATGGGAGTTTTAATTCTGTGGAGTTTTAAGTTTAATGAAAAGAATAATAATACATGCTCTGTTTTAAAAAGATCTGGAGAAAACAAAAAAAAAAATTAAAATAATCTTTAACTATTCAGAAGATAATGACCCCAAATTGACTTTGAGTGAAAAAGAATAACACAGGCTCTTGGTTTACAGCCCTTCAGTCTTAAGGTTTCCAGGATTTGAAGCTTTTCAAAGATGTGGGGACAAGCAATTAAAGAATTTAATATCATTCCTGCAATTTTGCCAAGCTTCCCAGGACCCAAAGATTATAGAGTAAGACCAGACATCTCCTCATCCTTGTTTGAGTCCATGGTGATTACACTCAGGGCTTCCCCCACCACCTACCCCATCTTACAGTTACAGTGTTAAGTCAATAGGGTCAGAAGATAGCCACAGTTCTCTTTTCCAGAATTTCATTTGAAAATATACAGCTAGATACTGCCTAGATGAAAATCTATCAGCAACCAAAATATAGGCTGAAACCAAAGGGACTGTGTTGTGTTATGTAATCAAGACAGATATTCTAAGACAGATATTCTTAATGATGTCATTAACTCCCCGCTTTTATTTGATAGCTCCTTATCTTGGCCTGGCAGCTGATTTACTGGAAAAAACTAATTATTGTCAACATATTAGAAAAGGCACCCATTCTGGTAACATGCATGTACTTTGCTAGGGAAGAAACATAAATATGTGAATTGAGTTTATTAGCTAAACATATAGGGCTGGTAGAAAAACTGCATGTAAAATACACTTTAAAACACTATATAAAAGAAAAAATTTTAAAATAATAAGTATTATGTATATTGTTTGTTCAATACTAAGGGTCTGAAAGATAAAGACTATCTAAACAATATAACGACAGGCATTAATTTATGTTATCTTTAGTACTCCTACAATACTAACATGTCCTATCAGTCATTTGGGGCATTAAGTGTATTTAAAAATACTTTCCAAAAGACTAACACTCTCTTGGCTTTAATGTGCAGTATTATAAAAGAGCTTAATTAGAAACAAAGCAAACAAACAAAAATGAACAAACTTACAATGATGGGAATTTTCTCTTTGGGTTTTGCTAGTTGCTTGGCCAACAAATACTGTTCCGTTCCAGGTTTTGCAAATCCAGGAAATCTAATCATGAAGATAAATATTCATGAGTCTTGTATCTTTCCTTATAGGAATTCTACGACTCTCGTCCACATTTACTTAATATACCAGTTTTAACCTTGTTCTGTCTTTCAGACTAGGAAACTGTGGTAAATGAAACCTAACATTATCAGATTGTTCAACGGCCAATTAGGCATTTAATTAAGCTTGATCTGGTGAAGAGAGCAGTTTGACTCCAGAGGTATGATATTTATGGGTATTCCATTTGCTTAACTGGGTCTGAAGCATTCCATCACCCAACAAAGTGTGAAGGGCAGACCTGCAACGTCTCCCAGCTCACAGGGCCAGTAAGTGGCAAGCACCAATCTGAACTGGCCACGGGGGACAGCAGCTACATGCTAGCATTTCTACATCCAAATTAAAGTTTCCTTTCAACATTCTCACCCTGAAGGTCACAATTATCCCAAAGAAGCTGCTACTATTCATAAGCATTTGTGCCATTTTCCTCTGAAATTGCCTTCAGAAACAGTTTGACACCAAGAAAACAACCCAAAGCCCAAGAAATTTGGCTACTGGTGGAGGTCATTTAAGACCTGAAATCATAAATAAACTTGACCACTTCCAGAAATCAAATCTACATCCAAAGGACACGTCTATGATTGGAGAACAGCTGGAACAAATACATAACCCTCCAAAGTGCTACTTCTGAAGAAGACAAGATTAATTTGGGTTTTAGAATATTTAAAAAAATAAACAGGAACACACAAAAGAAAGCAAAATATCTAAACTGGGAAAGGGAATCTTATTTCTCCAGAGTTCCAGCTGCATTACTTCTGATTTTGTTCACACACCAAGCCAAAGGCCACTGTGATGCTCTCAGGGGCCGTATCTTCTTTCCTTCATTCTCGACTGACTTCCCGCCAGTCTCCTTTCCCCAGACGGTCCTTCAAGCACAGCTCATACCCAGAGCAAAGAGGAGTCCTGGGGCAGGATGGCTTTGGGTCTGAACTCCGACCCCAACACTCAGGTGGCCTTAGGGGCGGGCCTCAATCTCCTTGTGGGAAGAACGGGACCAGATGACCTACCTCTGAAGGTGATAAGGGAACTAAATGAAAAGATTTATGAGAAGAGCCTAACATGTATTCAATACATTTAAATTATTGGTAATTATGTCATCATCTCTGTGAAAGCATTCCTGCAGCCTCAGGCAGAGCTGTCTCAGCAATCTGAGCATATTTTTGCTATATAGTTTATCACATTTATTTATACCTTATAGCCGACTAGAAGCACTTTGGAGAAAGCATTTGTATTTTCAGGACCTAGAGGAGTTCTGGGAGCACACTAAACACTTAATGAATTAACCTGGAACACTTTTATTAAAGAACTCACACTTCTGTGAGGATTACATACTGTGACAACTCCTTGACCAGACTGTAAGCTTCTGAGTGCAGAGATCACAGTTCACACTTTTTGTATATTCTTATGGACCACAGCAAAACTCTAGGGCTGACTATACACACCCAGTTATAATACTCACTGAACAGCAATGTAATTTATTAATTATCTGAGCATTATCGAGATGGATTCTTACAATGCTCAAGCATATTTAAATCTCTGATCTCCTTTTCTAGTATAAGGTTTATGTTCCATGGAATACAAGCATCATATAAAATGGAGTAATTACTGACAAAGTATTAATACTTTCAAAAATGTTTACAACTGTTATAAGTAAGTGACTCATTTATACATTAGTCTAGTTAAATAAAAATACATAGGGTCTTAAATTGTTCTCAGCACTACAGAGAGACAGAAAAACCTCAGAGGTACAGGTTCCAATTAGGACTGCTCTAATTTGGTTTCAATCTGTAGTGACATTTGAGAGCAGAAAGAACCCTTAAAGCCAACCTCTTTGCTTTAGATAAATGAGGAAACTGAGGTTCAAACAGGTCACCAAATGTGGCTAAGATCATACAGCACATCAGAAAGCAAGTGCAGAGGAGAGAAAAGCACAGGACACTAGAGTCAAAGACCCAGGCACCAGCCAGAAACCTCACTCATCAGCTGTGAAGATGTGGCTCCTCATTTTTCTGTTTCTACTTCCTTGTTTTCAAAATAGGGCTAAGAGATAAATTACACTTAAATGGGCTTTAAATATACTTTAAATTTAGGTTTGAGAACGCCTATCTGTAACATACATCACCACTGACCATAGTGAAAACTTCAAATTTGACTCTATGAACTAGACACAGTTGACTAACAAGACACAGAGTGACCACCTGTATTATGCATGCAATTGAGCAGGACACTACATAATGGAAGACACTGGACAAGAGGTATAAAAAGTGTACAGTGAAAAGATAAATCACTTCACCATCTGAAGCTATTTAAATATACTTTGGAGACTTGTAGAACTTATTAAACTAGATCCTAGACCTTGGATCCTCATGTCTGAATATTAATATATACCAAATGTTTTCAATTCTTTCCAGACATAGATTAACATTCTTTGATACTTGCTTTGAATCATAAACTTGGAATATTGAGAAAAAGTATTAGTAATTTCAGAAAATAAACTATTTTAAACATAACTGCTGAAAGAAGAGTACTTAAAGATTCTTACGGAAGTCATATTAATAATTTATATCTCCTTCAGGCTACACTGATGTAAACTACAGACTGATCTAGAACTTGCTACCAAAGAATCCTACAGCACAAAGTGCGTATTTACTCTTTCCCACATGCTCTCCTGTTAAGTACTATTAAAACTTTTTTTAATCTAAGAGAAATCTAAGTGAAAACAAGTATCTTAAACATATTAGGTACAGTAGCTGTGAACACGTGCTTTGGAGACTGAGGGATTGGGATACAGACTGGAAAACTTACACTGATGTGAACTTGAGTGTCACTAACCTCTCCGGGAGTCAGTTTTTCTCACAGTAAAACAGGGATTCTATGAGGGTGGCCTAAGAATGCATACAAACCATTTTGCATGATGCCTGGCACATGATGAGTGACTAATAAAAGAGTAAAACATTTAAAAGGGAGTTTTATTATTATTTTTAGCTTTCTGTTTATACTAGCGATAAAACCTTACTATGTCATAGAGTTGATAAAGGTAAAAGTAATAAAAACTATTTAGCAAATCACTGAATATATATTTCACTTATTAACCTTGTAAAATGAAAATTCTTTTTTTTAATAAAAAATAACCTTTGGTTTGATCATATTTTACTGAGAATTTTGGCATCTATATTCATAAGGGATACTAGTCTGTGGTTTTCTTTTTTTGTTGTGTCTTTTCCTGGCTTTGGTATCAAGGTGGTACTGGCTTCACAGAATGAGTTGGGGAGGATTCCCTCCTTTTCTATGTTATGGAATAATTTATGCTGAATGGGTACCAACTCTTCTTTGCAGGTCTGGTAAAATTCAGCTGTGAATCCATCTGGCCGAGGTCTTTTTTGTTGTTGTTGTTGGAAGGTTTTTTTATTGCTGCTTCAGTCTCATTGCTCGTTATTGTTCTGTTCAGTTCTATTTCTTCCTGACTGAGTCTTGGGAGGTTGTGTGTTTCCAGAAATTTGTCCATTTCCTCTACGTTCTTGAGTTTATATGCATAGAGATTTTCATAGTATTCACAGATGATATTTTGTATTTCTGTCGTATCAGTCGTGATATCTCCCTTTTCATTTCTAATTGAGTTTATTTTGAGTCCTTTCTCTTCTATTACTGGTTAATCTAGCAAGAGGTCTATCAATTTTGTTTATCTTTTAAAAGAATCAACTTTTTGTTTCGTTGATCTTCTGTATAATTTTGTTTTCAATTTTGTTTAGTTCTCTGACCTTAGTTATTTCTTTTCTTCTGACTTTAGGCTTGGTTTGCTCTTCCTTTTCTAGTTCCTTGAGACATGTCATTACATTGTTAATTTGTAATCTGTCTTTTAAAAATATACTTAAAAAGACAGGCATTTTAAGGCTATAAAATTTCCCCTTGGGGACTGCTTTTGCTGCAACCCATAGATTTTGACAGCTTGTGTCCTCCTGGTCATTTAGCTTGAGGACTCTCTTAATTTCCATCTAATTTCATCTTTGATTCAATAATCATTCAGCAGCAGGTTGTTTAACTTCCATGACTTTGGGTAGAATTGGGTGTTTCTCTTGGAGTTGATCTCTAGTTGATTTATTCTACTGTGGTCTGAGAAGATACATGGTATGATTTTAATTTTTTTGAATTTGTTAAGCCAAGTTTTGTGGCCTAAGATATGATCAGTTTTGGAGAATGTTCCATGTGCTGATGAATATAACGTATATTCAGTAGTTTTTGGGTAAAATGTTCTATAAATGTCTGTTAGGCCCAATTGTTCTATAGTCGCATTTAAGTCCAGTGTTTCTGTATTTATTTTCTGCTTGGATGATCTATCCAGTTTTGTCAGTGGGGTGTTGAAGTCCCCAGCAATTACAATGTTGCTGTTTATCTCTCCACTTAGACCTAGTAGGATTTGCTTTATGAATCTAGGTTCTCTTGTGTTAGGTGCATAAATATTTAGGATTTTTATATCTTCTTGTTGAATTCTTCCCTTTACTATTATATAATGACCATATTTGTCTTTCTTTACTATTGTTGATTTATCATCAATTTTGCCTGATAACAAGAATGGCTATACCTGCTTTCTTTTGGTTTCCATTTGCATGGAATATTTTTTCCATCCCTTGACCCTGAGTCTGTAAGAGTCCTTGTGGGTTAGATGTGTTTCCCGAAGACAGCAGATACTTGGCTCGTATTTTTTTATCCATTCATCCAGCCTATGTCTCTTGAGTGGGGAATTCAAACCATTTACATTGATGCAAACCATTTACCTTGATTGACAGAATCAATATGTGGGATGCTGTTCTGTTCATCCTGTTGGTTATACCTTATTGCTTTGTTTTACCTGTTGCACTATTGCTTTATTTGAGCTCTGAGCTTTAGCTTTTGGGTAGTTTTACACTGGAGGGTAGCCATTGTGTTGTTCCATGTATGATGCAGTTCTATTTCCTGCAGGGCAGGTTTGGTCTTGACAAATCCCCTCAGTATTTGCTTCTCTGGAAAGTCTGTATTTCTCCTTTGTTTAAGAAACTTAGTTCTGCAGGATACAAAATTCTAGGCTGGCAGTTGTTCTGTTTAAGAAGAGTGAAGGTGGAGTCCCAATCCCTTCTGGCTTGTAAGGTCTCAGTTGAGAAGCCTGCAGTTAGCCTGACGCGTTTTCCTTTGTAAGTTACTTGACGTTTTTGCCTTATGGCTCGCAGGAATTCCTCCTACGTGTTGACTTTGGTCAGTCTGATGCATATGTGTCTTGGAGATTGCCTTTTTGCAATGAATCTCCAAGGTGTTAGTTGAGCGTCTTGTACCTGGATGTCTAAATCTCTAGCAAGACGAGGAAGTTTTCCTCAATTATCCCTTCATAAAGGTTTTCCAGGCCTCGTGTGGTTTCTTCTTCACCCTCAGGGATGCCTATGATTCTTATACTTGGCTGTTCATGGTTAAATAAAAAAGACCACCTTATACCCCAGTTTTAGGAGATCACTGCAAAGACAAAAAGTCAACTGCCTTTTTGTATTTTATATATACTCTACACACAGGTCCTGATTTCCCCTCCTCCCCAGTAAACTTACTTGTTAAGCGGCAGCTTCATGGAAGACGCACCAGCGCGACTGTTCCCCCGCTGACTGCCTCCTGCTTCAGCTGATTCTGAATCCTTAAAGTAAGGGGAGGAGGACTTGGGGTCATCCCAGTCTTCGTCCCAGTCATCGTCATCGCCAGTTGCTAGAGGTGGAAACAGAACATCATCGGTAACAAAATAAAAATTAAAAAAAGGAAATTACTTAATTTTCTGATAACTACTACTGGGCTAATCATTTTTTTAAAAAATGGGAGAAAAGGGTATAGGAGTATAATGCAGATATTAAGAGCATAGTCTATTTTAAGGCTTCAATTATAGATTCTTTTTTTTTGAGACAAAGTCTCACTCTATTGCCCTGGCTAGAGTGAGTGCCGTGGTGTCAGCCTAGCTCACAGCAACCTTAAACTCTTGGGCTCAAGCGATCCTCCTGCCTCAGCCTCCCAAGTAGCTGGGGCTACAGGCATGTGCCACCATGCCCAGCTAATTTTTTCTATATATTTTTAGTTGTCCAGATAATTTCTATTTTTTTTTTATTTCAGCATATTATGGGGGTACAGATGTTTAGGTTATGTATTTTGCTCTTGCCTCCCCACTCCCCCCCAAGTCTGAGTTTCAAGTGTGCCCATCCCTTGGATGGTGCGCATTACACTCTTTGTGTATGCAAATACCCATCCCCTACTCCCCCCTCCCCACTGCCCGACATCCAATAGATGTTATTCTTATATGTACATTTATGTGTTGATCAGTTAATACCAATTTGATGGTGAGTACATGTGGTGCTTGTTTTTCCATTCTTCGGATACTTCACTTAGTAGAATGTCTATTTTTTTTTTTTTAGTAGAGACGGGGTCTCGCTCTTGCTCAGGCTGGTCTCAAACTCCTGAGCTCAAACAATCCATCCGCCTTGGCCTCCCAGAGTGCTAGGATTACAGGCGTGAGCCACCGCACCCGGCCTTCAATTGTGGATTCTGTCTTTTAGTGCAAAAGGCACATTACAAGCAACTCAAAAAGGGCTGTCAGATCAACTGATTTTTGTCAAGGGCACCAAGAAGACACAATGGGGGAAAGGACAGTCTCTTTAATAAATGGTGTTGGGAAAATCAGATACCCACATGTAAAGGAATAAAACCAGACCCTCACATTACACCATACACAAAACTAACTCAAAATAGATTAAAGACCTAAATGTAAGACCTGAAACCATAAAATCCCTAGAAGGAACCATTGGGGAAAAGCTCCTTTACACTGGGCATGGCAATGATTTTTTTGGATATCACACCAAAACCTTAGGCAACGAAAGCAAAAACAACAAGTGGGGCTATATCGAACTAAAAAGCTCCCATACAGCAATGGAAACAATCAACAAAATGAAAAGGCAGCCTACAGACCGGGGGGAAAATATTTGTGAACCGTTTGTCTGACAAGGTGTTAATATCCAAAATATTTAAGGAAATCACACAACTCAGTAGCAAAAAAACCCAAACAACCTAGTTAGAAAACATACATTTTTCCAAAGAAGACATATGGCCAACAGGTATATGAAAAGGTGCTTAACATCACTAATCATTAGGGAAATGCAAATCAAAATCACAATGAAGGCCAGGCGCGGTGGCTCACGTCTGTAATCCTAGCACTCTGGGAGGCCGAGGCGGGCGGATTGTTTGAGCTCAGGAGTTCGAGACCAGCCTGAGCAAGAGCGAGACCCCGTCTCTACTAAAAATAGAAAGAAATTAATTGGACAACTAAAAATATATAGAAAAAATTAGCCGGGCATGGTGGCGCATGCCTGTAGTCCCAGCTACTAGGGAGGCTGAGGCAGTAGGATCGCTTGAGCGCAGGAATTTGAGGTTGCTGTGAGCTAGGCTGACGCCACGGCACTCTAGCCCGGGCAACACAGTGAGACTCTGTGTCAAAAAAAAAAAAAAAAAAAAAAACTCACAATGAAATATCACCTCATGCCTGTTAGGATGGCTATTATCAAAAAGTCAAGAGATAACATGTGTTGGCAGAGGTGTGGAGAAAAGGGAACCCTTGCATGCTTTTGATGGGAATGTAAATTGGTGCAGCCATTATGGAAAACGGTATGGAGGTTCCTCAAAAAATAAAAAAATAGCACTACCATATGACCCAGCAACCCCTCTTATGGGTTTATACCCCAAAGAAATGAAAGCAGTAAGTATGTGTGCTCCTGTCTTCAATGCAGCATTATTTGTAGTAGCCAAGATATGGAATCGACCTAAGTGTCTGTGGATGGATGGATGAATAGAGAAATCGTGGTAAACAAGTACAACGGAATATTATTCAGCCCTTAAAAAGGAGATCCTGCCATTTGCGACAACATGATGAACCTGGAGAACACTATGCTAAGTAAAAATAAGCCAGACGCAGAAAGAAAAATTGCATTTCTCACTTATATGAGGAATCTTAAAAAAGTCAAACTTAAAGAAGCAGAGAGTAGAAAGGTAGTTACCAGGGGCAGGGAGAGGGAAAGTGGAGAGATGTAGGTCAAAGGGCACAGAGCTGCCGTTACGTAGGATGAACAAGTCTAGAGATCTAATGCCCAGCATGAGGACTACAGTTAACAACGTTGCCATGCTGTAGAGTATATTGGAAACTTGCTAAGAGAACATATTTTAGGTGCTCTTACCACACACACAAAGGTAACTATGCAAGGTGACATGTGTTACTTGGCTGACAGTAGTAATCATTTCACTATGTATATGCACATCACAGCATCATATTGTGTACCTTAAATACAATTTTTTTAAAAAGGGTTGTCAGTCCAAATAATTTCAGATAAATGCAGACTATAAAAATGTTAAGTGGTAGGTAAGAAAAAGCCTTCTAGAGGCCTTTACCCTGATAAATCTAGTTTTATAAATAAGTAGGACAAAAATCCCCTTTAAATCAAGAAGCTTGGGAGGACAAAAGGGATGATAGATATTTGAAAAGCAATTGTTCAACACTAATAATAAAGGTGAGAGAAGGGCAACGAGGGGAATATAGGAAAGAATGGGCTGGGGTGTGGGAGAAAAGGGGAAAAAAACTGAACTATTAGAAGGATCTGGGCCAAGCTGCTGGAGAACCAGATGTCTGCTGCCTCGCCTTGCGTTTCCACCCACTGTCAACTCCTGGTCCTGCTGACAGCCAGCTCCCGTCTAAGACTGCTGGCTTTGAGCAAGCACCTGTGCCCTTTTCTGGTTCTCAGGGCAAGGTCCCTGCCATGTGGAACAGACAGTCACTTCTTGGTCCAATGTGCTCACAGAGGAGACAGGATCCAGTGATCATTAAAAAAAAAATGAGCAGATTCCTGTCTTTTAATTTCAGAACAGACACAAATAGCTTTTCTTAATTCCTGACCTAGTTCCCATTCTGTGCATTTCTCTCCTGCCTTAGTATTTCTATTAGCCTAGAAGTCAAATAGGTAGTTTTGGAAAAGATAAAACAGCTGACGCGAGGGCTGCACACCAGCAGGATGAGCCACATTTTATCCATAGACACAAGATTTTAAAACAAACGTGTTAGTTGCTAAGGTGTTAAAACGAGAAGGTGACATAGAATCGAGACTTCTGGCGTCTCTCTGAAAGTGCAGCGATCGGAACGCCAGCTCAGCTTCCCACTCAAGCGCACCCGCAGGCGGGCACAGGGCCACCCTTTCAGAGAAGGCGCTTTCCAGTCTTCCGCAGCCCCCATGCCCGCTTTGCTCCTCTGCTCACAACACAGCCCAGGCATTTGGACCTGTGACTCCTCGAGAGATAACTGAAGACTGTAACGAACAACTATTTACATTTGGATCTAGGTTTGATTTGAGTGAGTAAGAGCAACTGCGATAGTTCTTTTGAATAAAATCTATTTTCAACTCAATGACCCAGTGTGATACTGTGAGAGAATAAGAATTGTACATTTGGTCTCAGCCCCCAGTTCCTGGCACTGAGCTCCTAACCCTTGGAGTTTCTGAGTGACGGGAGTGTCTTTTGTCCTAATGAGGTAACTCTTAGTGGGCTCCTGGGTGATGGCTGGTCACCAGAAAGGCCAAGCCATGATCAGAAGCTTGGAACTTTCAGTCCCAGCCCCATCCTCCGGGAAGAGAAGAGGGGCTGGAGATTGGGTTAATAATCGATCTTGCCTATACGATGAAGCCACTGTAAGAATCCCTGAACTGCAGGGTTCAGAGAGCTTCTGGGTGGGTGAAGCGTGGAGGTGCCGGGAGGGTGGCAGGCCTTGGAGAGGGCATGGAAGCTCTGTACCCCTTCCCAGTACCTTGCCCTTTGCATCTCGTCATCTGGCTGTTTATTTGGATCCTTTAAATTATCCTTTGTAATAAACTGGCAATAGTAAGTAAAGTGTTTCCCTGAGTTCTCTGAGCTGCTCTAGCAAATTAATTGATCCCAAGGAGGGGGTTGTGGGAACCCCCCAGATCTGACTCCAGATGGACAGTGTCAGGATTGAGATAAATTGTAGGAGACCCAGCTGGTGTCTGCTGGAGAACTGCTTGGTGTGTGGGGACAACTCTCCCCACGCCATGTCTTGGTCACAGAAGTGCCCTGGGTTGTGCTGAGCGTGGGAGGAGCAGAAACTGTGCGTTCTTTCCTGGCTCTCACACCCGGACACTTATAGGCAGGCGGGGCGGAGCCCTCTCCTCACCTGGACCTTGGTAGGCCTGGGGGTGGCCGAAGGCCGTGTCCCAGTTGTTGGGGGTGTTTTTCTGGGCGCCAGCCCCCTCTGGCTTGGCCCCCCAGCCATCCGAGCTCTCCCAGTTCCCGGATTTGGAGGCACTCCAGGCTGACCAGGGGTCACTGCTACTGGCAACCTGTTGAGAAGAGTAAAAAGGAGAAAGAATATTCGTGACTTCTGGAAAGCATAACTCAATTCAATAATTAATTGGCACAACAATTAAATATACCTGGAGTGCTGAAAAAAAATCAACAGAATTTAAAACAATTAAATTTAAACAATAATGTTTTTCCAACACGTAGGAAAGCACAAAAAGCAGCATCAACCTAATTTCACTGATGTTAACAGTTTTTTTTTTTTTTTTTTTTTTTTTGAGACAGAGTCTCACTCTGTTGCCCGGGCTAGAGTGCCATGGCGTCATCCTAGCTCACAGCAACCTCAAACTCCTGGGCTCAAGCGAGCCTCCTGCTTCAGCCTCCCGAGTAGCTGGGACTACAGGCATGCGCCGCCATGCCCGGCTAATTTTTTCCTATATATTTTTAGTTGTCCGATTAACTTCTTTCTATTTTTAGTAGAGATGGGGTCTCAGGCTGGTTTCGAACTCCTGAGCTCAAACATCCGCCCGCTTCGGCCTCCCAGACCGCTAGAATTACAGGCGTGAACCACTGCGCCCGGCCTGATGTTAACATTTTGCACATTTGCTTAGGAACTTTGAAAACAGTAACAAAGGAATTATTAGACACAGCTAAAGCCCTCTATTTCTTCTTCTGCCCTAGCAGTAACTACTTTTATGAATAGCGTATTCATTCCCACGTGTTTTCAAATTTCCGTTGTATATGTACACATTCATACATAACAACTGTTTTGTATTTTTTAAATTGACCTGAACAATATCATACTGTATGTATCTCTTTTCAAATTGTTTTTTTCACTCAACATTATGGTTTTAAGATTATACAAGTGATAAGGACTTATTTCATTCGCCTTAACCGCTTTATAGCAATCTGTTGTATTTTTAAGTAGGTTTAATTTTTATCTGAAAAAATAATACATGCTCAGTAAAAAAAAAAAAAAAAAAAAATTCAAACAGAACAAAAGGATATGCAATTTAAAAAATATGCCTAACCCCTTAAGATACCAGTCATCTCTTCAAAGACAACTACTGCTGTTAAAAGACACAAAATTACAATAAATTTAGTTACAGATCTAATGGCTTTTGTTCACAATTCACGAATCTGGGCAGCCTCCACCCTGCAAACTAGAATTAGCTTCCACTGGGCAACAGCAGAACACTGGGTTTAGTAAGGTGTGAATAAGAAGACAGAACAATAGGAAAAAAACTGAGTGGTTAACATCAGGTTACTTTTTTTGGTAAGGGTTAAAGCAGAGGGGACTTCCTTATTACACTGACTCAGGTAGACTAGAACATCCTGTTGTCAGCAAAAATTTAGTCTGCTTAGGGACCTCTGTGCTTCCTGAAAGTTTCAGTTGGATGACACGGCATTTATAGGAGGACTCCACTCTGGATTGGTCTGTGCTGGCGCCCAGTGCGGGAGCTCCAAAACAACCATCTCCCATAATTTTTGTTAATGCTACTAACAAATTCCTTGTATGTGCTTAACTGAAACATCCCACACAGAGAGATCCTTTCTGTTTTTAAACACGAGAGTGACCCCAAATTATACTCTCTGCTCTGTACGTTTTTTCCCTCTTAAGAGCATAAAACATTCTCCAAGTACATCAGCAGGTATGGATACAACATTCTTTACATGTCTCCATAGAATTCCATTGTATTTATTTCCCATAATTTAACCAGCATATGCTGATGTTAATTTATCTTGTTTTCAGTATTTTGGTACTGTAAATAATACCGCAATCTGAAAGATCTATGTGAAATTCCCAGAAGAAGAATTGCTGGGCTAAGGAGATTATGTATTTAGAATTGATAGATTTTGTCAAACTGCTTTTCAAAGAGACTTTAGCTACATTCCTGCAATCCTACTGACATGCTTAGGGGTTTCATCTTGCATAAAAAGGAGCTTTCATACTCCAAAATTATTTTTAAAATATTTTTCTCCCATTATTCCTTTGAGTGATTTTATAGTTTGATGATTAATATTGTAAATAAAATTCTGGAACAGGCAACACAGGGCACCCAATCTCAAGGAATGCTTTGGTAGGAGTATGGGAACCCACCTCTCAACCTTGACCTGCCTATCCCACCCCTGGGGCAGGCACAGTTTTTTGGTTTTTTGTTACCTTGACTTCTTTACATATAAATCTTTGATCTGGCTGGAACTCACTTTGGTATAAGAAATAATATTTCCGTTGCCCTACTACCATTTAATGAATAATGCATCTTTCCCTCGCTGATTTGAAACAGAACCTTTATCATATATTGGATCTGGGTCTATTTCTGAACTTTATCATTTCTTCATGATCTATTTGTATTAGTACCATGCTTACTTTGATAGAAAAACCATTAATACTTTAACACAACATCTCTTAGCTGATCATTTTTACAACTGACCTTTAGCATCAATAGTTTTCAACTAAAACAATGTGAACTTTGTCAAGAGAAAAGAAGCCAAACTTTGTAAAATAATTTAAAGAGGTTTATTCTGAGCCATATTTGAGGATCATGACTCAGAGCCACACCCCAGAAGCCTTGAGCAAGTGGACTCGCTGTGGTTGGGTTACAGTTTGGTTTCATACATTTCAAGGAGACAGGGGTTACAGGTAAAGTCATAAATCAACACATGGAAGGCATACATTGGTTTAGGCCAAAAAGGTGGGCCATCTAGAAGGTGGGCTTACAGGTTGGTTATAGGTGGGTTTAAAGATTCTTTGACTTGTAATTGGTTAAAGACATTAAGTTTTTTTGTCTAAAGGCTTGGAATCTTTGAAGATAAAGAGGTCTGATAATCAGAGACAAACCAGCAGACATATATTTGTCCTGTAAATTGAGGACCTGCAGGTTTGTCTTGCATAGCTTCAGGCCTGTTAATGAGTTACAAAGGGTATCTCCAAGAAGGGAGGGGGCATGATGAGGCCTGTCTGATCTTCCTCCTTGAGGCAACCAATTTAGTTTTCTTAGGATATCCCCTTGGCCAGGAAGGGGTCATTCAATCAGCTGGTGGCAGGGGAAGCCTTAAGATTTTATTTTAGTTCACAACTTTAACATTAGAATCTCTAATTAAAAATGTGTTCATTTTCTCATCTGAATCACCTTAAGTTTACTGATAAATTCAGAGAAAATTAATAGTGCCCTTTTTCCCCCACAATTTCGGTATTCAATCTGTTTAAGAACATAAAATAGCAAGTTTTTCCCTTGAGTCTTCTTTTTCTCTCACACACACAAATACTCACACTGAGAGTTGGTTAAAAAAAAAAAAAAAAAAAGAGAGAGAGATCTGTAAGAAAATTGCCCAAACTGTCTAAAGCACCTCTGTAATGTTTGAGAATGCTCTAGTAGCTATTGTGTTTTGACTCTCCACCAACTGACAGACGGGGCAGCCAGCTAGCTACCACGTACCAAACGCATAAAAAACAGAGTTTATGCTTTGCAGGTAGAGTATGATGTCACTGTAACACCCCCAGATACCTCTACAGAAAAAAGTGAAGTTACATGTGATTTTGCTCTAAAAGTCAAATCCTAATAGCGGAAAGATATTTCATCCACCAGACTGTGGACTTCTCAAACGCAAAGCTTACAAGGGGACACTAGGCTTCGGGATGGACTCTCAGGCCACCCTCAGGGATGCTGGAAATGAAGGCGATCGTGTTGAGGGCCTGACCATCACTCTTCGGTTAAGAGGAACCTCTCCTTCCACCGTTTTCTTTAGGGATGGAGTTTTAGTCAGCAATATATACTCTACCCATGTCCTCCAAGCTCTAAATTATTAGGTTTTATTTTTCAAATAAAAGCTTAAAAAACACCAAAGTTTGGGACAGTAAGATGCCAGTAAGTACAGACAATCCTTTGTCTAGAAGATTCAGCATGATTCCCATGAACTCCTGACTGTGAAACGGTGGCATGCCGGGGGGCCCAGGTGGAATTCCAGTTCTACCTCTCTCCAGCTGTGCAATCTCAGGGCAGGACTCGAATGCAGGCAGCCCGACTCGGTTCGGAAGACTGCTAGAAGCTAAGTGTAACCACAAAGGAACACAGGGCTGTGAACTTGAACAACAGGAAGAGTGAAAGCTCAGTGGGGCCTTCCAGAGGGCCCTGAGTCTTAGCTAACTGGCCGGGAAGGGGTTTCATGAAGATGAAACAAAAAATTAGAGGTGAGTTATTCGTAGCAAGTGTCCTCAAAAAATTAAATCCATTTAATCAGGACAGAAACAAGTAACACAATTGTCCTTTGAAAATTACTTTATTCATAATTTATAGGCTTGTAATAATTGTCATATTACTTGGTTATATGTACACGATCCTAGCTCTCTACCTAGGTTATGAATTCTCCATGGGTGTGTTTGCTTCTCTTTTGGTTTTTTCCCTGGAACATTCCCTCTATCTTGTTTCAATCTGACTCCTGCTTATAACCCAACCAACTGGAACTCCCTTCTCCAGCTCCTATCACAGGCCTTGTGTTCGCTCCCTCTCCTGTAACCAGCAATCAGCCGTCCCACTCTGTCTCTCTGAACCCACCCTTCCCGCACGCCAGTCTCTGATTTCTTCGTTCTCCTTTGCCTTTTAACTACAGACATTAAAACCCGTCCTGCGCCTTGGCCAGGGTTTCCAGTTCTCAGGTGCCTCTACTATACTTCTCTTCCACCTTTCCCTCCTCTTCTTTTCTGCTGAGCCACGTCTTCATCCTCTTTCTTTTCCCACCCTTTATTTTGCCCTCTCCTGACTGTCAATCACACGTAGTTAAAAATCTCTTCATTAGAGCTCACCGACCACAGAATCAATTCCAAGCTTCTTGGCAGATCAATCAAGAACTTCGGCAGCGAGGGTCCCAACTCTTCCTTCCGTTGCATTTCCCATTCTCATTACCCCAGCATTCACGCTGGGTCTGAAGCTTCAAATTTCACACATTTTCCCAAACTCTTCTACATCTCTGCCTTTTCTCATGCTACACGGTGCTCCATCTGCACACCTCATCCTCTTAAATTTGGCAAAGCCCTCCCCCA